TGTCAAACTCCAACCCCCTCATTGTCAGGGCTTCACAGTGTCTTTCTCCACCATATTCACACTTACGGGTCCTTGTTTGGTCTGGGCTGACCCTGCTCCACAGCTCGCTGGATTTTATATAGCAGGATTCTCCTTCTCTAGGAGGGAATTTTTAGCAGAAGGGGGATTTGGACCCACACCTGAGCACTGGCTGAAGGAATGACTAAGAATAACTGCTTTAGGAAAAGTCAGGGGGTGTTTCTGTGGAGGAAGCTGGTGGGAGGCGAGGGGAAAGGGAAGGGAGGGGTTTGGGGTAGCCATGTGCTTTAGTGTGCAGGGTGGGCAAAATTTGCCTGTTCCCTGGGAGGAACAGGTAGCTGGGTTCATTAACATCTGCGTTTGCAAGTCCTTTCCTTTAGATGAGCGCTGCAACTGCAGCCTGGTTCCCGATTCCTGGGAACTTACGGGAGCATTTCATTCCATGTCTGATTTTATAACCAGGGCAAAAGGTCAGTCCCCACCTCTGAGCCAGGGAGGCTGAGGCTGTGAGTGCCCTGCTAGAGAAGTGGAGCTGCTTGCGCTGCTGGGGATGGAGCTCCGACCTGAATAGATACAGAAGAGTGTCGCCCCAAGAGCTGCCATGTTTAGCTGTGTGCAGTGCTGTCTGGGAGAAAAGAGCACAAGCGCCCGATGAGCTATGGAGCAGGATTTCAGAGAGATCAATTTGTATGGCAGCTCAGCCTTTTACATTCGGTTTGTCACCTAGAGGAGAGTGACAAGCCCTCCATGGCACAAAAGCACCCAGAGCTGCTAGAAGCAGCCCGTACCAGGATCTGCCTTCCCCATGCTCTGTGCAGTGCACTTTTTAAATGCTTCTTTTAACCACTGTCACTGCAACTAATGATTCTGCCTGAGCACGAGTATATTTGAATAGATAAGTATCTTGGAGAGCTGCTAATGGGGCTGCTGTCTGTGCCTGAGTTTAAAGAGCAAAAGAAAAAGCTAGGATAGGAGGGAAGGGACTGGCAAGGAGATACCAGCACAGGGTAAAGAATCTATAAGGGATGCTTGTCAGTCAGCAGGGCCATCTCCTGCCCTCAGCCGCAGAAAGCTGACTTGTCACCATTCTTCCTGGCACTGGAGAGCAGCCAGGGGTTTTTCTCAGGAGCTGTCAGCTCTCTGATAAGCTGAGATGTGTTATCAGGAACAGATCTGAGGCGCAAGTGAGATTGGCATGACATCGCAGCGTGGTGAGGAATGGCTGCTCCTCTTCTGCTGGAGCCCCACTGTGGTTCAGGGTGCTTAGGAGGCAGTGGAGGTCAAGTGGTGCTCAGTGGGGAGAGGTTTTGCTCTGATGCACACGTACCACAGTAGAGCCCCACGAGCTCACAAACAAGCTGTTCACTGCTCCTCTCTGGACACATATGCACGTCCTGATGGTAGATGGTCCTCATGCATCCACTGAAGCCGTGCTATCTGATTGCACATCAGGACTCAGCCATGCAAACGAGAACAAGGCATCTGGCACTGAAGCACTTGAGGAGCCCATATGAGAAGTCTTCAGTAACGTCCTGGGTGAACAAGACCTTACTTGGCAACCTGCACAACATAAATCCCAAAGTAAGGAATAAAAGTAAAATCAGCCTTCCTAGCCCTGGTTTGCAGAGGCACAGAAGGTTGTAAGATGAGATGCTGACAGGGCTAGGAATAGAAATCGGATCCTTTGCACTTGTCAAAGCAAAGAATTCACTGTGCTTTTGAGGGTCTTTGGATGCAGTTTTCATGAATTTCGGGGAAGGGAGCTACTCAAGACGCAGTTCTTCCTTTCCTGTAGCTCCTTGTGTCCTGTCCAGCCTAGACTTGAACCCTCCAAGAGATGAAGCTATTGCCTTTTTCTGGGATGACTGAACTAGGGCCTAGAGCATTTTAACTTAGGGAGTTTTTCCCAAGGCTCAGGTGCATTTATGTCTCCAGCTTCCTGAGCCTAGCAATGTCTGAGCTTCTTAACTTTATTCATAAATCTCTGTACCCTGCGATACCCTACACTTGCCTGTATCCATCACGTAGTTGAATGTTGTCCTTCAAGAAAACCCCTATAGTCCCACTGACTCCCATCACTTTACCGTGATCCTTCCAGTTTCTGCTAGCTGTCAGCTATACCGCGGGATCTCTCTGTTTGTCTAATGATGATTTATTGCAGTAACTGATTTCTTTTTGGTTCAGTTGAGAGGTTTACATTAACTTCCTTCTGCTTCCTGGGCTCTCTCTTGCTCCTGACATGCCGTAGTTTGAATAGTCATGCCAACACAGACAAAACCAGAATCCCTTGCCCAGTGTCCCTGAGCAGTCTGTAGGCAGTTGCTGAGACGTTGCATGTTTATAGTATGATTCTAGAAATTGATCCTGGCTGGCTGCAGAACCGACAGGCAATAATAGCATGTAACCTGAAACTCCCCTCTGCCTTCATTTTCTTCATCCTCTGAAGTTTTCCTCTTTTCTCTCCAGCACTGATGTTGAGGTCCCCAGAGATAAAAAATAGTTTGACTAACCAACATTTAAGAGCCATGGTGATCACAAGTCTAAACAGTATAAATACCAGTGATATGTATTAAATGGCAAAAAGGAGCATATAAAAAGGTATGTGTTCATGGCAGAATTATCTAGGGATCTTCCTTTTTTCTAGGCAGACACCACTGCCTGTCACCTAAAGCTGGCTCTGCTTTCCACCCAGCCAGCTGATGAGGGCTATAGGCTAAATCAGAGATAGGCTTTTCCTCAGGGTGATGACATCCACTCTTTTTTGCTTTGTTTTGTTGTGGTTTGTTTTGTTTTTTTTTTTAAGTTTGGGTATGTTTTGCAGCAAATGGCTTTTCCCAGCCAAGCCTGATGGAAGCACTCAGAATGAACTCTGTAGCACACGTGTGCCCACAGAGTAACGAGCAGAAATTAAGGGGATAATATATGGTGACTTCCAGGAAAATCTCCCTGACAGCATAACCAGGCTGTGGCATGAATTCCTTGAGGAAGTGGTGAAAGCCCTATCGCTCAGCACATTGGAAATGGGATTGGACAGAACACAAGTACATTTACAACAGGGGCAATCCTGCCCTGCCCCCCAGGGATGCACAAGACAACCTAATAGGTCTTTTCCATTTCTAGATTCTCTGATTCTCTCTGTCTTGTCAATGCTGGGAAGCTTCCTCCTGCTCCACTGCCTGTCATGCTGCTGTCTGCTTGAAGATGTTTTTCCCAGACAGCGTGTAGAAATTCAGCGTTCTCCCTGAATTAAGCAGCAGTGCTCTGTAGGCTTTGGCCTGTGGGTGTCCAGAGAGTGCCGTGGCTGGGGAAAGCTGGCAGCTCCTTTTGTTAGTAGGTAGAAAGGCTCTGCAAACAAGCTTCCTCTGTCTAGCTAAAGCCTCATTTCCAGCACTAATGCAACAATAGGGAGGGCTCTGTACATCATTTTTATTATATGGCAGAACCCAGAGAAGTTCATTTTTCCCCATGACATATAGACTTATGCTACAGTCTCAATTTATCCTTCTAAATAATGTAGGTGGCAGTGGTTGATTCACATTAGTTTTTCTTCTGTTCTGATGATATGAAAAACTGAGTTTGACCTCTGCAGCTTGAACCAGCAAGAAGAGAGAAGGCAATTTCACCAGCTATTCTCAGTGCCACTCTCAGTGGTCATTTTGAACCGTGGCAGGCAGAAATGAGTTCAGATCCTTACAAGCAAAGGGGTTAATGTTTTTAGTTCAGTTTATGGTTTGTGAGCAGAGTTCCCTTCTTATAGGCAATCCTAACCAGCAGAATCTGAGCACTTGGAGGCACTTTAAAAATTATTCCCGCATTGCCTGGGGGAAGCAGGCTGAGCAGCAGCCGCTTCGGTGTCTGACCAACGGCCGTTCTCTCCTGCGGTGCCAGCTTGCTGTCACACGCATCCTGCTTCTTTCTTCCTCTTCATCTCCATCCTTTAGTCTACGTATGGGGCTCAGTTAGGGGGTCCCAGATGTGACAAGTTTTGCAGTCTTCCATGCAAGGCAAGAAGCTGGGTGAAAGACCAGCCTCCCAGGCCAAGTGGTACTGGACACCAGTGGAATAGGCTGAGCAGATGAGAGAAAACCAGCGCAGACCAGCGCTCACTTCTGCATCACAGGCACTCCGCAGGCTCCCCATCTAAATTGCTACTCTGCATGCAATTATTGCAGTTGTTTAGAAGTGCCCTAATGCATCTGGCACTTCGGGGATGGGAGCAGATCATGTCCCGAGGAACCTGCAGTCTGAGCTAAGCAACTATTCCTGACCCAAGGCTGGAGGAGCACACAGGACAAAGGGAGGGTGGCTTTCACGCGAGTGCCGTGTGGCAAAATGAGTGTCTTGCATTGATGTACATCTTTGATGTCTCAGACTGAGTTTCTAACCTTTTTATATCATGTATAATGAAATCTGAAAGGACAAGGAGATCACTGACATGGAGAAAGCTGACGAAAGGCTAAGTGTTTTCTCAAAAGGAGATGTCTGTTGGAAGGAGGGGGGTGAGGTGGGAGAGATGGGACTCTGCCAGTTTCTGCAGGAAGGTCGCAATTTGTTGAGCCTTTGCTAGGCTTTGTGTGCATCAGATAAGAAACAAACAGCTCCAGTTAGTGTGCTTTGTGCTTGGCTGTTTTGATTAAAGGCTTATTAAAGGTCTTTTTATTAGACAGGAGTCCCATACAAAGCTGTAATTTATATGTGTGTATGTGCATGTTGTTTTCCTCTGTTGAACCAATGAATATAAGTGGTTGGTGCAGTTGGAAATACATCAGTAACTGTTTGCCTATACATTAAAAAAAAAACAATAATGAATTTCACAAGCTTCTAACAGCAGACTGGGTACCTTTTGGCTGCATGCTGGTACCTTGTGGGTCCAGGAGGATACTTTAAAAGCGTGGGGCATGGCCTTCCTTTTCTGAGGCTGGCTGTTCAATTACCAGATTAATCGTAACCTGAATTGTCTATGTCATCTTGTTTGTGTACAGGAGCTCTGCAAATAGAGAACAGCGAGGAGTCAGACCAAGGCAAATATGAATGTGTTGCAACCAACAGCGCAGGAACCCGCTACTCTGCCCCAGCAAACCTTTACGTTCGAGGTAAGAGCAGCTTCCACCCAAGGGGGTCACTCTCCTCCTGCCCAAAAGGCTCCATGGCTTTCAGTGAAGGAGTGTGTTCCCTGTCTTAGTGCCTTGATCACACTTTGTGGTTTGTGTGATGTGGCCTTTTGCTCAAAAGATGGCAAGATCTTTTATCCAAGTTGGGTTTGACTCACATTTCTGGAAATCTGTTTTTGCTGTTGAAATGGTGTTATGTAAAATGCTGAAGTATAGGCAAAATCGGAATTCCTTTCTCCCTTGAACTCCTCAACTTTGTGTCATAGTTATTTTACTTGGGTGCTTAATCCTTTTAGTATAAACTAACCTTTGGTGGAGTAGTATAAAATCAGTCATACTCTGATGAGCGAGAGGTGCTCAGTTGTAGATGAGCTGATATTTAGGCCTTTGCTTGGGAATGTGTATCTTTAAAAACTGAACAGCTTTTTGGAGTTGTCCTAATCCATCTTCTATGCATCAATGATTGAGCCTCTGGGTATTAATGGCTCACACTGGGAACCTGCTGGAAATTAGCCACAATTCACATAAAGCGATTTTTCTAATGGTTATGCTATGTTGCAGATTTAAAACTGTTTTCAACATACCAGAATAATTTAGGTTTTATATCAGGACAGTCTCCTGCCTGTTTTCTTTCATTAAAGGTGTTTGAGTTATCTTGGAGAGAAGCAAGGGCTAAACTCCCTGTACACTTTCTGTTAATTTCAGCAAGAAAAAAATAGACTGTTTCATATGAAAGTCTGTATAACCAGAGCCACTGGTCAGGAACCCCTGGGAAATGTAGCTATGGATTTTCCCAAGAAGAGAAAGAAGATTCTTATGCTGGTGCAACCTATTGTTTGTTAGGAAGTTAGAACTAGATTTTATTTCCACATAGTAAATCAACTGTCTAATAATAAAATCTCATCTTCATTTCTTCCTTCCTCTGATTTGAAGAAAGAAAATACAATCGTAAAGCTATCTATGCATTGGTTATTATGGAAAGAGGACATGAGAATGATTAAGCCTTCACATGCTGTGTGTTTGCTTCTAGGGGAGGCTTCTGGTATTGTTTTCCTTGCTTATTCTGGGGCACTGCTTTTTTATTTTGCAGCGTAATTTGGATTGTAAGAATCTTTGGAAGACTGAAGTATCCCATTAAGCGTTTTCAGAAGATGAAGCTATATCTATGCAGTGGAATCACTCAGTTCACTCTCACATTGAAATTATGGATGATTTTAAACTCCCTGTATTCTTGCAAGTTCATTTTTCAGGCAAGCTGTACTAAAACTCGTCCCATACTGTCACTTTGCACTCTGAGGGAAAGGTTCCTAGTTACCAGGCTGGCTGTTGTTGCATAGCTTTGTGTGGATACCCAGCCGTTTTGCTGCAGTATTTGGGATGCTTTTGCTTCCTGTGACACGGTCAGACTCTCAATGTTCTGTTTTCTGTAGAGGTGTGGCTGAAAAAAGGCACAGGAGCTTCAAGAAGTAGAAAAACCTCCTCTTACAACTTTCTGGTTTCTTACTAATGAATGCTCTTTATTTAGCAAGTGAATCATGTAAGACTGTGAAGTGTATTGAATTTTACACTTGACTTGCTGCTCAGCAAGGTTTGCCTGTCCTGTTTGGGCTAGGCATGGGCCACGGATGGTCTCCACATGTGAGAGGATCCTGATGTTCACCAAAGAAAGCATATTCTTAGACATATGCTTTGCTGTTAACCATCATTTTCTTACACATAAATTTTTGGAATAAGCCTTTTTATTTGCACATAATCTTTACAATGTCAATCTTCCAGCCTGTGTGATCCTGATAAAGCCCTGCTGTATATTTAAGACAGGATACCCCATAAATTATTACCAGATTAAATTGACCGTGCATACTAGGTCCTAGATGGTATTTGTGCTTACAGTTTCTGATAGCAAAAGTTCTACCAAAAAAAATCGTGTTGTTACTATATTAGTTAATGACTTCCAAAAGTTAGTCAAACCAAGAACAGTATTTTATTTCTTTAACAAGCAGTGAAAAAAACAAAAATATCTTACATTCTCAGGTCTGGGATGCAGAATAAAAGAATCCCTGTTTTTTTCTTCTTGTGATAGACCTACAGTGTTGTCATTAGACAGATCAGTGACTTCCAGTAGGGTCTTCAGAAAGTGCCTGCATCTTTACTAGAGAAGACATTAATTAATGATAAATTACAGTGGAAATTAAGTGTGTTGGCTGCACTGCCACTGCATGGTGGTTTCATAATGATTGACCTCATTGTGGTGAATACCCAAGAAGTTGGACACTTTCTCAGAAAGCGTGGCTGAGTACTGAGCAGCAGTACTAATTTCCACCCTGTGTAGTTTTCAGGACTGCTTGTGCCTGCTCTCATTTTACAGCCTATTGTTTTTTCAATAGTTCAAATGTTTGTTTGTCTCTTGACTCTTGGGGTTTATGTTTTTGATCATGTCCTCCCCTTTCCTAGCCTCCCAGGTAATCCTTTGTGAGTGTGCTGTGTTAGAGAGCACGGGCTCATTAGCATCTTTATCATATTTTTATGCTAACAAAGGAAGATGCTGGGTGCTGAGAAAGAGTATCCAGGCACTGCTCAGGGCTTCCTATATCCATGAAAGAACAGGAGGAGGAAGGAGCAGGCTACACCAGTATCTTGTCTCTGTGAATCCTTCAGAGCCAGCACTTCTGCACAGATGGACTTCATTAAAAGTTAAAACATTTCCACACCAGGGATTTGTAAAGGAAAATGGATGCATTTTCCTTGAAGCTATTATTTTCATCTTACTAAGTGTGCTGGAAAGCAACCCTCATAAGCCTTCTGCTTCTGGACTGACAGGTCTATCTGTCTGCTGCTACAGAGCTGGGATGGGTCTGGGGACCAGCGCTGGGAGCTGACTGCCTCCCGCTGCTGTTCGTCAGCCCTCCATGCATGGAGGGTTGCAGAAAACATCCAGACCATTAGAGGAGCAAGAACAGGGTGAAGGCAAGAGTGGGGAGCATGCCAGGGCAAGGTGGCTATCTGGGGCATAGCAGAGACTTCGAAGGGAGCACAGTGGCATATTCCTATCCTGCCCTTTCCGCACAAGCATGCTTGCCAGTGCTGATCTGGATGAAGGAACACCCATTCATTTGTGGTCCATGGTTATATGTACCACGCTACTAGATTTGGGACTTGATGGTGCTGCAGGGAGAAGAGAATAGAAACGTATGGAAGATGTGATTCCTCTAATCCAGAGAGCTTACTGTCCGATTTAGCAGCAAAAATCCAAGAAGTTGATTCAAGACATACAAGAAATTGATTTAAGTGTAGAAGGCAGATTGGACTCAGTGTGGAAAAAAAAAAGTGGTGTCATTTTCATCATGCTTACTGGGAGTATAGTATAATTGCACTGATTCACCTGTGCTATTGTTTCTTTATGAATACATTTCACTCTTCATTCCCCTACATCTTCAGGGACATCTGCACAAAGAGGAGCATTTTCAGCCAAAACTCTTGTCCTATGAAATGCCTGTGAAGGCGGTGGCCTGTGTGGTGCTCCCCTCAAGAGAGGCACTGTTACTTGACTCATTCCCTGTATGAGAGGTTTTTTCTGCCCTTCTCCTTCTTATACGTGGCATTATTTTTTTTTCATGCTTCAATGAAGCAGATGAGCTCGAAGGCTGTGTATAAGAATATCCTTATTAATACACTGTGGAGTTCACTAAGTGTGTTCCCCAGTGCTGCCTCTAACAGTGAGCAATGCAGATGCTATTAGAATAATACATATTGGAGCACTGGATGCATACCTCCCATCAAATGAGAAATCTGCTGCCCAGTTTTCAGTTCTTAAGTGCTGCTTTTCAGGCCTTCAAGGCACGGTCCAGTAGGGCACGTGCAGCAAGCTCCCTGGCCCAAAATGCTACACATACTGTAGAGAAGCAGCTGCACAGCTGCTTTTAAATAAAGAGCATTTAAAACTGAATTGTCTCCTCTGTCCCCAAATCGCAAACTAGTAAATGAGACTGCAGTAAATCGAAATGGTAATACTGCAAAAATCTGTGCTTTCTGGATCTGCTTTTTGAAAGGCCAGGCTAGGGAAAGCAGGGAAACTTGCTTGGAGTCTGAAGTTTTATTTGCCAAGTTTCACTAAGGAGCCGTCACCCAAAATGAAATTAGGATTGTGGCTCTAGCAGTGTCCCTAGCAGTGATTCTCTGGCCTCTGCAGGGTTTTATACTTGGGGACTTGGAGGTAGCTTAGGCTCAGACATGAACTCACCTAAATGGCTGCTTACGGCAAGATGATGCTTACTGCAGAGGGGATCTTGTATAAATAATAATAATTCTGAACAACTGACATTGGCCTGGAGCAACAAGACTTGAAGCCTTTAAAAAGGACATTTTCCGCCTATGTAATATTAAAACAGCTAAAATAGCAACAGCAGTCAAAGCTTGAGGGTATTGCCAGGAGAAGAGTAAAAGCTGAGGACAGTGGTCAAACAGTCAACAACCAAAACTGGGGATGTCTGAAAAATGGCTAAGTAACAGGGAATACATTTGTTTATAACCCAGCTATATGCACACTTCTGGCAATGATGTGCTCTGTTAAACCTGCCTCTTGTCAGGGCTGATGGGGGTGACATTACTTGACTGGAGAGGGGCACTGCCGGTGCTTGAGGGTCTGGCAGCAGTCACAGACAAGCAGAGACTGGAAAGACTTGTGAGGGAGATGCCTGGGTGGCAGGAAACACGAACGGGCCGTTGAATCAGACCAGATGATCCAGGCTGCTGCTTCAGACAGACGTCTGCCCTGGACTATCAGAAGAAGCAAAAACAGGCTGCAATAGAGGCCACAGAGTAACTACCCCTCAACAGCTGGTACATGGCTGAGGAGGGCTATGGGTCAGAAGGGCTGTGATCTCCCTGTGTACACTCTGTGCAGTCCTGACCTCAAGATAATGCTGCAGTAGAGCAATGCAACAGAGAGCAATGACCCTTTGATGAAGAAAGTGCACTCCTTTTTATGCGATTTCAGTATTTTTAACTTCATCTCCTCTGCTCCCGAGTGCTGCTCCATGCCGAAGGTACTGCTGTAGCCAAAGCCGGAGCAGCTGTAGTTTGGGCAGATGCACCTTGGCTAGTTGCAAGCATGTGGGAGGTGAACGCAGCCAGCGGCGTGGCTGGAGCTGCGCAGCATTCAGCACCAGCCGACATTTAGTACTTGGTCAGCGCTGTGGCTCATGCTGCTGCGACTCTCTATATCCTCGTACTGGAGCTGGTTGGCTTCAGAGCCGTGAAGGCACGTACAGGCTTCTGCCAAGTTTTTTCTTCCCCATATATTAGTATGAATATTTTTGTCATGTTTTCTCCTCTATCTATGAGCATTTTGCTATGCCGTAATGATTATAACAATCACGGTTTAATAAATAATTGTTCTTTGTCCTTCTGGTAGCATAAATATCTACAGATTTCAGTGTGCTTTATAGAACTCAACTAAGTAAGCTTAACAGTTTTATTCCTTGCAAAAACCTTTGACAGTTGAAAGTGCAACATGAGGCTCAAGTCTGATTATTTGTAAAATGACCTTTATGGAAAATAGAAGGAGAGTGGCTGGTGGCTCAGTGCATGATAATGCAACACAGAAATGGACTCAGAAACCTATTTCCTCCTCCTTCCCACATGACCTGCATAGATGTCTGTGGAACAATTAGGCCTGCGTATCTGTGCCGACTAAATGTCCGTTCACTCCCCTTCCATATCCACTTGCACAAAGAGTTAGGAAATCCATCTCTGGTGCTCTGAGATTTTCTGCTCTTAATTGAATTCATGCATGCATGTGTGTGCACTATGAATGGGAAAGGATGGTTGGGTGCCCTGAGCATCCTGTCTGTCTCTCCAGGATGGAATATACTCATCACTGTGGCATGAGAACATTGTTCATCACATATAATGGGAGGTTGTCTTATTCTCAAGTAATCTGGCGTAAAAAAGACAATCTGTCCTTTTGTTCCTCTATACCTCTAAAAGCTGTAAAGGATGAAATTTGATTTATGTGGAGTCCTTGAGACACAAGATGTGCTTTTGGAGATAAGCAGGAACAGGTTCATCCTCCTCTGGGTTTTTGTTAACCTCTGTGTCTTTTGGATTCCACAGTATCTGGGCTTGCCGTGTATTATTGCCTTGCATAGCACCAGAGGGTTTTCAGCACAGGAGAGAAGCTGGCAGTTCCCGGCAGAATTACAGAGCCAATTGGGATAATGAACTTTCTTGTTGCTTTCAGGAAAGTATTAGCTTCCCGCTCTGAAAAGCTTTAGAAATGTGTTCCTTTGTTTGAGCTAGTGATCTAAACTCTCAGACCTGTGCATTCGTATCCCAGCCACAGCCCCCTGCCTTGTTGCAGGGAGCCAATGCCTGAGAATATACAAAAGCAGAGCCTCCCATAAGCCCAAACTCATTCGTTCTGCAACAAGCTGCTGTGGTTAGAGTATTGCTGCTGCTGCTGCAGAAGACGAGCATGTCTGTGGCAGGGTAAAAGCCAAATTCAGTCGGCATGGGAATTTCTGCCTACAGAGCGCTGGAGCCATCTGACAGCCAGGACTGGCAGACGCGTCTCTGATATGGCCTTGCTCTTTGCTTCTTTGCTGTTTCAGCTTGGATCTCAAAAGGAGCCCCGATTTTACCTTCTGGAGTTTGCTATCCTCTGGTGGCGTTTTTGCTGTGACTTGACTTGCTTTGTCTTGCATATAGGCTGGCATGTTCAAGTTAGCTGCCAGGCAGCTCGGGTTCATGGGAACAAGGTAGCATGCCTAGTGAGCCATGGTATTGTGCACAGGGGATACTCGGAGTAACCCCAGCCTTAAGTCTTCTGTCCCTATGTGGGGGCAGATGTTATTTTCTGTCACTGCTCAGAGTCATTTGTTTTGTAAAACAGCAGAAAACCTGTTGGATAAAACATGCTTCTTAGCTTAGGAGTGACATGGATAGAGAACTGGAGATAAGGGAGAATGTGAATGGCATCTGTAAGGAGATGAAACTTTCAATTTACCATTTATCAGGTTTATCTCAGATAAAGCAGCAGCTGTTTAAGCATTAAGTAAAGGGGAAGGAGAGAGAACTTTCTGGCCAGGTGTTCCCTCTTGCCTTACAGCTGTTCCAAAATAGCCTACTACTGGTTTTTATTCCCCATAAGCCACTAATATAATAAGAGATTAAGAGATAATCCAGCAATTAGTGACAAATAGCAGGCCCCAAACTTGTTCCTGTTTGACAGATCAGAAAGTAATCTGTTTGAATTAGAGTGTTTCACATGTGTCTCCTCACCTTTCCAACTCTAATCTGAAGAGTCAACACGTGGGGTAAGCCACTGCCAGAGCCTACTCCTGTCCATGCACACTGATACAGTGCGATCCCTGCCGGGCTCCCCAGAACAAAGCCCCTGGCCGTTCCCCAGCTGCAGCAGCACCCCTCTGCCTGCCTGCAGGCCGGCCCAGCGGCACCACAGCGAGTCTCCTTGCTGCGGCTGCTGGACGTCAGCCCTTCCCCAGGGCAGGGGGAGACTGCAGCTGCTGCGCTTTTGCAACGGGGACGGGTGTTCCCGTAGCTGTTTCAGCATCGTTGCCCAGTCTTACACCCTTCACCAGCGTCCTGCTCTTCAGTCATGCAGTCCCAAAGGATGCAGCAGGTTGGTCCATTCATGTTTGCAGCAGTTGGGAGCTTGTGAGACCCTATTGAGATGTTAGGGACTACTTTCCAGAAATGCAGCCATTCACGGGTACACCTGGTTTGCCGGAAGCACTGTCCTTCCCGGGCAAGGGCAGGAAACAAATCCTCCCTGTTGGGAAGAGCTGAGCAGAAGGCCGAAGCCCCTTACTGGCTGCTGAGGCCAAGCAGATGTGATACACTCCATTAGATTAGGAAATAAAGCGGTGGCTTGAGAGCAGCAATAAAGAGGTTCTCTCCCGTTGCAGGGTCTCACAGGATTAAATGAGCCATATGTTTTGTGGACCGAGAGGTAAATCCCCTGTCTGAAACAGGCCAGAGGAAACTTGAACCTTAAGCTGTGACTGTTTGTTTTGACGATGCCGGGATGGGGGTCCTCGCTGGATATGGCCTTCACTTATAGGCCACTTAAGCTCCGAGCTGGCTGGTTCTGGTCCCCTGGTATCAGTTCAATTGAAGAAATGTAAACAACTGTTTTGCTGTTCTCCTGCAAGCTCCATTACACTTGGTAGGCCACTGTTGTAGCTGTTATTGGCAGTTTGTTGCCTGGTCTGTACCATGTCAGTGTTGGTTAAAATCCTGTCCTCTAATCGCTGGAAATGGCTGACTGTACCGTTGCACTGTATAATGCCACATGCTGTTCTCTAATTTGCAGTGTTTCTGCTGGAAAGCAAATTCTTCCCCCCACGTTCTCCTTCCCCCATCAAGAATGTGACTCATAAGCAGTCTTTAACTATCAAATCCACTTGTGTATTCTCTCAGCGAGGGTTCGATTACAGCTGATACGCGACAGATCTGTAGCTGGAGTGAGGTCACTCCTGCTAGAGAAATAAGATCTCCTTTGTCTATAAGGAAAATGCAACTAACCTTCTACTGTCTCTCCCGCAGGAACAAAAACTGGGACCTGCTCAATTCTCTCTGGGTGTTTTTGTCCTTCTGATTTCTTGTCCATCTCTCACTTGCAGCACAGTGTACCAATACGGCTCTCATGAAACTGAGCCCAGCTGAGACTGCGCATGTCTGTCGCTTGCCTAATACCTCTCTGCTGCATTTAGCTCTTTGTTTGGAGAGGGGGAGCAGCTCTTCATGGTAGAAGACTTTCCATTCACCACTTGGAACATTTCTTTCATACTTGATAAAATTCGGATCTACATATATGCTCTTCCCAGTGTGTGGTCAATGGGTTTAAAGTGCCTTTGCCATCGTCTTTATAGCTGGAGTGGGTGCGTGAGAGCACATCAGTCTGTGTGATGCCTGGAATCCCTTGCTCTGTGCCTGAGTGTTTTGCACATGTAAACGTGTCTGTGCTTCTAGCAACTGGCCCAGCGTGGGGCCACCCCCGAAGCACCGTCCATATGAGTATGTGTGGGACGTGTGGTCCCCTCCACCCTGCCTCGATGAGTGGTGTGCAGGTCAGGGAGGCGAAGGGGCTGGCCCTGCTCTGGGCCAGAGCTGTGTGAGTATGGCACACTCTTGTCCACAACACGGAGTGGTGTGTGTGCACGGTGGGAAGTCATGGCTGACCTCTGTAGTCTTGTCTTGTCGTTTCAGTGGTGTGCGGACAGATGAAGCTTGGCCTGTTTTTACTCTCTGTGTTTTTCCTTGTCTTTTTTTATTCCCTCCTCATCTTCATCGCACTCTGCCATCAAACAAAACAAACTTTCATCTCTCAGATCAGCGAGAAGGTTGGTCCTTTTCACTTCTTATCCATCTACAGTACGCCACGTCAGACGGGACTTTTCCAGTAGGGAGAGGAGAGCTATCCCCAAAAGGGGAGGGGGCCCTACAGACTCTGGCTCCCTTCCAGGCACGGCCACAGTGTGCCTGATGAAATCTGCTTACTGTTTGCTGTGACTCTGGTGATTGCATTGATACTTTGCTTGCATGCCTTTGTTGCTTGAGACTTAAAATGCACAGAATATGTTTTGCATGCAAATAGCAGCCAGGGCATTTTATTTAAAGGTAGGGTGGGAAGAAGTGCATGCTACTGTATGTGGGGTCCTTCTCTAACCCATTACCTCTGCTAGGTGCCAGTCTAATACCTCTAAACTGCTGCTGCTTTCTGGCCAGAGATCAAGAGCAGTCTTTGGAAGCAGAGATCAGAATGATCTCCAGCCCCCTCAGGAGCTGCTAGGGAGAGCGGGTTCCTCAATTTCCCCTGTAGCTTTAAAAGTCTTAACTTCCTCTAGAGGCAAAAAGCTTACTTTTGATCTCAGCTGGAGAAGAACCCAGCATGCTGCCCTCCCTTGCCACAGGGCAGCAAGGGCAGCTGGCTGAGGTGCAGGGCCCTCCTGCTGAGGCAGCTTCCCTGCTCCTCAGCAGTCCCCACTCCAGAGGTGGCCAGTTCTCCATGCTCAGACAAGGGCCTTTTGCATGAGCAGGTCTGCCTCTCCTTTCTTCCCTGGGGCTGGGTCTTTCTCTTGCTGGCAGGAGAGCAGGGAGCTCTGGCAGTGGCCCCAGCCTCACCTAGGATGGCTCAGGGAGGCCCGTGGCAATGTGCGCAGGAGCTCATAGCCGCTCAGCAAAACCTGATTTGTGCTTTGCCCTGCTCTGTGCCACTGCCCTCAGAGAGCCAGAGGTGAATAAAGGACAATAGTGAAAGGTGACTCCAGCTTTTAAATTAAATTTAGCTCCAGACCTAGCTTGAGGCATTCATGATTTCATGCTGAGGAAAGCTAGTGGTTTTGGCAGAAGTCCCAAGCTAGTTTCCAAAGATGACTCCTTTGCTGAACGAGTGCCGTGTGGATCTGTTCCCTCCACATGCAGTGGAGGAGAGGGATGCTCGCAGGAGCTCTCCAGCCCAGCGCTGCTCCCGAGTGTCACAGGGAAGAGACCCTGGCTTCTCTCACACATGCCATCAGGCAGCTGCATGAGTTGATCTTATAATCATCACTGGAACAAGTTTTAACAAGTTGTCATAGCAGTTGTTCCAGTACAATGACTTCGCTCCCATTTCTCTCCCTGGAACGTGCTCTCATTTAGATTGTACTGAGGCACGGGGCCCTTGTTGTTTACCCTCTAAAAATAAGTTTTGTAGAGGATAAAATTACCTGAGCCCAAGACAATGATGAAAAAAGAGAACAAGGAAGAAAAGAGCAGAAATTAAAGCCAAGGCCCGAAGTCTCAGATTTTAGTGAATTTGGAGTACTGCTGTGATGGCTCAGGCACCTCTGGAGACTAAACCTTTGACAGGGCACTTAAACGTTTTAGCCGCATGGTTTAGCTGAGGGGAGGCAGCCGAGAATGGATATAAGCCAGCAGGAGCAGATAATTTCTCATTCTTTGTGTCGACCCCTCCTTCCCACCCCACCAAAAATACCCACATACACAAATATTTAATGTGAAGCCAGAAATTAGTTTCTAAATATTCCATTGGGATTTGCCATGCTTATAATTTGTTTGGCACTCATAATTACATTTTACATTTTTTCCAGCTTTACTTAAAACTGTGTACTGCTCACCCATGCATTTAATTATTGCTCTGTGACTGCTACAAGGTTATTTATTAACGAGTTATTTTATCTTGATACAGTGGATCTTTTCTCTTATTCCCCTCCTTAATGTTGTGTTATTTTCATCAGAGAAATTTCAGAGTGAATGCAAATTGCATAGCTCCACAATCTTGCTCTCCCTTACTTTGCTATTAGTATGTCAGTATGCTGAATGCTGATGTGTCTCCAGTGCTGCACCACTGTAATGATATATCCTCTTTTATATGTGGTTGTCAGCGCAAATAATTAGACCTAAAAGTTATAGCTGAAATATAATCCAAAAATGGCAAGGCCCTGTTTTGGAAATTGTCTATAAAATGTCAGCACTCAAGGATGCATTGGGAGCATAAATAGTACAGCATTGTTTGAGCACAAGATTAGACTGTAAATGCATTTTTTCTGGTTCCAATTTTTCCTCTCCTGCTGTTGATTCTGTCAATAGATTGTGAGACTCCAGCAACTGCCTTTCCATTTGAAGCCCTTCCTTAAAATGATAGCACTAGGGAGAGATGAAAGGTGTCTACAGATGAGTAAACCATGCAGACCGATGATCATGTTGGAGGATATCTCCCAAATTCACTCCTTCCTGACTCTGAGGAGGTGGTTCCTGAGGAAGGCGGGAGTTTTGGGAAAGGCAGCAGTGTGGCAAAGGCACATGCACCAAGGATCCTCCAGCTTGCCTGACTGGAATAAAGAAATTGGGCAGTGTCACCTTCTCAAAGATGTGTCCCCGCATCACTTTCTGCTACTCATCCCAGTTGGGAGGTTAGGGCAGAGCCCTCCAAACTTGCCTTTGCTTGTGCTGGCGGACAGGGAGGAGTAGCACAGCCCAGGCAGTGCCAGTTCTGCTTCAGAGTGGATGGGACTTCAGACTGCTGCTCCTTTGTGCAGCGGAAGAGCAAAGGGGAGAGACAGTCAGGATGGTGGTGCAGGACCGGAGCAGCTGGGATTGCCCCAGAGAGGAGCAGAGAAGTGTGCAGGGCACGGGCACAACTCTTCATCACCGTGGGGCAGCAGCCAGCGAGCCTGCAGTGAGGCTGTCGGCGGGGGGAGGATGGAGCCCAGAGTTAGGTACCAGCTGGGCACAGTGGGAAGGAAACCCAGAAACAAGAGCAGGCAAGTAGAGGTCCCTGCATCAATGCAAGCTGGAGGGAGGGGTGTCAGCATTGTCCTTTGCTCAGCTGTACTGTGGCCCAGACAGACAGCAGGGAAAGCAGTTTGGTTTCCCCTTCCCTAGCAGCGCCACACGGTATTGGAAGCATGAGCAGTCGTCTTGGCACTGGTGTGTTTCCAGCAGAGCATTGCTGTATGCCAGCAGTGTCTCAGCATGCAAGAGAGGAGTGACAGCACTGGCCTGTGAGCCTGAGCACTCATGCCCAGAGCTCAGAGCCTACAACTCTTGCAGACAGCAGCAGGGGGGCGGGGTCCCTGGTTCTCCAAGGGGGTAACGTCACCCTCAGAGGGAACCCAAGACATTAGGAAATGGCTACTCCTGTGGTGAAAGGAGCCGGGCAATTGATTCATGCTCTTTGCTCTCAAGGCAAGGAATGTGCATGTTAATGCATGCTGAATTATTAACATTTCTCAATCTCCACCTTTGTGGCTGTTGTGTTGCTTGCTCCCCTCCTTCCTCCCCCACGGTCCCCGCCAGTGAGTGGGGAGCCAGTCTCCACACTGTCCTTTCTCCTTGTCCTGTGGGATCCAGGGCACAAGCTCAGGTTGCGCTGCACTGCTCGCTGCTCTGGGATTTCACTTCACTTCCCAGGGAATGCTCTCTACAGGGAGGCGTGCTGAATAGTGGAGCAGCACAGAGCCCCTACGTTGCCTATTTTTGGGATGAATGACAATGAATCTCATTTTTGATAGTCTTGCTGGTTTAACTAAACCTCTGAATTATACTATTGTCCATTGAAATCATTTTAATATTTACAGCAATTTTCCCTGTGCTGTTCTTGCAAAACCTCAAACCACCTTCTCTGATCTTTATCCAAAAAGAAGATTAAAAAAAAAATATTGCAAATTCTTGTCAAGAAAATTGTAATAAAAAGGGAAAATTCATTGCTGCAATAAATGAAGAACAACAAAAATTTCTGGAGCACTTAAGGTAGCGTCATGGGCTGTGCTAGCCCATGTGATTTGACTTGTAAATTGGGCAGAAATTCTGAGAATGGTGCTTTTTAAGGAGTTATACTGATTTAAATTATTACCAGACTTTTATGCTAGAAAAGCAAGTGACTTAAATCGCTGGCTTGAGCCTGAGCCTGAGGAATGTGTTGATGGTGCTCTGCAAGCTGCTGTGAGAGCTCTGCCAGCTCTCGCTAATGCTAACTGACAGTATCTCCCCTTCTCCCTCCGTACTGACTGGGACGAGAAGCTGCCAATTATCCCCCAAGAGGATGGGAGGCTGATGGAGCCCGTCCCTTCCTTTGCACACGCTCCTGCCAGAGTAGCATCCGGGCTAGATCTCTCACCGAAGGCATTGCCCTGACCCCCTCCTGCCTCCCGCGTTGAGAGCTGACCCCTACATGTGGCATCCATTTTTAGCAGCTGCGGTGCCTTGGGCACTGCTGCTCTCCGGCGCGGAGAAACAAGCCCGTCTTAGCAGCTCTGCCGGTGTGCTAACAAGGGGAGGCAGGCTCAGCCGTTCTGGGTCGCAAAAATACACTGCAGAGGCCTGTTTAACCGCTCATCTGTTGCCAGGCTTGAGAGCTGAGGCCCTGCACAGCCTCCTGGCGTGCCGTAGGCTGCAGTGTGCAGAAGGCATGGCCCGTGTCGAGGTCGGCGACGCTGCAGCCCGCCTACCCTCTTGTATGGTTGGATCTGCAGGAGAGTTCTCCTTACCATTCGTTCCTTCCCTAGGCGCACGGACATGCCAGCCACCTCCACTGCTCCCTTGTGGGTAGGGCAAGGGAGAGCCACTTCCAAAGGGTTTCAGCCCTTCCCTTCGCCCCGTAAAGCACTGCCAAGAGCCCCCGCAGGCCCTTTGAAGTGCATCTCCCCTGTGCTGCCCAGAAGGGAGCAGAGGACAGTCGGCTGCTGGCTTCCCTGAGGAGAGGTGGCTGCGGTGCCCACAGGCACTGCCTCTGCAGGGCACATCAAAGCGGACACGGCACTGATGGGGCTCGGCATGGCCCCAGGAGCACCCTCAGAGCAGTGCTTGACATGGGGGCACAGTGTGGGGTGCAGGGGAGTCTACAGCAGGCTGTGCTGTCTCTGGTCTCACAGGACTGGAAGTAAAAATCTGTGCATGCTGGGCTCTGACCTTCCTGCATGGCCTCTTGTCCTCCAGCCTCTTGTCTTCCCATCTCCCTGTAGGTGAGTTACTGTGCACCTTCCCTCTCCCAGTCCTGCCCTCACACGCTTTCTTTTTGACTCTGTAGTGGCCTCCAGTGCCTGCCAGCCTGTTTGCCTGGTGCATGTGCGTGAGTGCTCTGTGCACACCTATGGCTTTATCCTCGAAGTTTGCTCTTTCTTGTTTTAATACAGTGTGGGTGGGTGGGTTTGGTCCTTGGATGGGGACGAAATTTCAACAGCTTCTACCTGAAGTATTTTGACACCATGTTCACTGGAAAATGAAACCTGACTCTTAATGAATGGTGCTGGGATGCTTTGGTTGGAAATACACGCCATCATGTTAAACCATTGCCATGTCCATCAGGTTAACTCTGTATTCTCATGACTGCGTAGTGCTTGAGTACACTTTCAGTTCTGTCTCGTTTGGGGAGCGCTGCCCCATCAGTCAGGTAATGCCTCACTGGCAATCGCTCATGTAGCTATTGATTTGCAATTTAATAATTGATTAAAAGAAACAACCAACAAGACTTTGGATTTAGACATTCGGGGGGGGGAGGAAAAAAAAGCAAAGCAAGTTATCCTTCCCCTGGCTGGTCAGGAGCTAATGAGCCCTGTTTCGTCACCGAGACAATGTTGACAGTATTGTCTAATTTATCACGAAGTCTTAGCTCTGTTGTACATGCTAGCATGGGGGCTTCCGTGTTCAGTCTATTTCTGCAAGCCTGTTGGTTTGGGCATGAATCATCAAAGAGAGTGCTAGTGAAATTTGATTTGGGGAGAATCAGCTTGGCAAGGGGAGCTGACACCTCTGCGGCTCGCCGGGCTGCCAGCAGCTTTACCGTCTGTGGAGATGCCATGGTGGCAGGAGCCAGGCCAGCAGAGCCGTGTCCCCCCGGGCCCCCGGCGCCCGTGGGGCCGGTTGTGCCTGCAGTGTGTTGCGAGCTGGCACCGCTCAGGCTCCTGCCTGATTTCCACCTGCCCCCAGCACTGCAGCTGTCCGCTGCTGCGCCAGGCCGATGCGGCGATGGAGGAGCGTAATTGGCAGGGAGAGGCTCCTCGGGAGATGGTCAGTCGTGAACCCGGCCGATGCTCTGGGGCTGCCTTTCTGGTGGAAGAGGCTAGAGGAGAGCGGGGCTGCTGGGTGAGACACGTTCAAGCGGTTTCCCTTTTTAACTACAGACTAAAATGAGCTTGCCCAGAGGAGACAAAGATTTACCGAGCACAGTTGTTTCTCTACCCTTGCTTAAATAGGCCCATAACACTAACCCTGAAGAAGGGGCCTCATTTCTCAGTGTCATTTTCCTGACGGGAATGCATATGGCAGGCAGCTTTAGAGCTTTATTGTAGCTGAGAGTTGCTTACAAATAAGTCTTGAATGAAATACCCAGCAAGGGATTGATATGAAGAGAAGCTGTGCAATGAAATAAGGAGGAATACATCTCCTGAAGTGCTGCCACAAAGGTGGGGAGGGTTCTGCCAACCCAGCTCTCTTCTGTCAAAATGGATATGATCTCACATCTGTCAGGATTAGTTCTCTCCTGCCCAGCAAGGTGATCTGTTCAGGCCCTGACAATGTCATGCAGCTCTGGTGACTATTTTTTCTGAGCCAGGGTAGAACCTGAGTTACATTTTGAAAGGAATTATATTTTATTTAGCAGCACATGTGTGCTAATTCAGAACGAAACCCTTCTGCTGCTCCTGCCCAAACCCTGTGAGGTTTAGGGGATGAGTTTCTTTACTCTAGAGCTAATAAATTGAGCAGGTAATTCTGTTTTGCAGAGCTTCAGTGGGCCCTGCACAGAGAGTGTGTGACTGGCATTTGTGCATGCTCTCTAATTAGAGGGATGCAATTTAAATGGAGGAATGTTTCATGTTAGTAATATGATTTCAAAAGGCTATGTTTGGAGGGAATGGATTGAGCCATTCCTTAATGAGTTCTTCTAATAAGATGCCAGTGGCTAAGGAAGGAGAGCAAAGTGTGTGCAATTTGGCAAAGCAGTGAACAGCTTTTGCACTTCATTTTATCTGTCCCGAGGGATAGACAGGCAAAACTGTTGAACCCCCCTCACATACCCCTGCAATGCAACTGAGTGCTCTCTGCCAGTTCTGTGACCCTACTAGCTGTCTCCTCCTTGTTTCAGTGCGGCGTGTTGCTCCTCGATTCTCTATCCCTCCGAGCAACCATGAGGTGATGCCTGGGGGGAGCGTGAACCTCACATGCGTGGCAGTAGGTGCTCCGATGCCCTATGTGAAGTGGATGGCTGGTGTGGAGGAACTGACCAAAGAGGATGAGATGCCCGTTGGTAGGAATGTCCTGGAGCTGAACAACATCATGCAGTCTGCCAACTACACCTGTGTGGCCATCTCCTCCCTCGGCATGATCGAAGCTACAGCCCAGATCACTGTTAAAGGTATGGTTCTGTTCCTTGTGGTGCTCCTACTCACTTTTCAATGGTGTAGCCCTTTGCCAAAGTGTTTTTGGGTGCAGCCAACTGACTGCAGTCTCCTGTGACTTTTCCACCTTGCAAGAGAGGTTTGCGAACCCACAACTTTGTTTTTTCCTGCTCACAGTATAGTATTTGCTTTGGAGGTTGTTTCTTCTCTCCCTGCATGGGGCATGATGGGAGACAGGCCTGTGTCAGACTGGGTCCCTATTATGCCACGAGGGAGCCTCACTGAGTCTCTGCTCATCCCAGCAATTTCTGGCTTGTTCCATGCATCAGCAGGTTCAGTGCAGCACAGCTGTCCTGGGACAGGGATCCGTGGATGCCTGCAGTCAGAGCCATTTGCACAGAGATCTCCTTTTGCAGCAAGGGCAGGGCAAGAAGGTTAATCCCAGCAATGGGAAGTGTCTGTGGACCTCACCAGAATGACCATCCTGCCCCCCTGCAGGGAGAAGCTGTACACGTTCATTTGAAAATGGTTGCATATTCCTCTGACAATTTTCTTTTTTCCCTTACTGCCTTGCCTCTTTCCTTTTCTCTTTCTTTTGTTGCTGTCCTCAAGGTGTGCTTTCTGCTGCCATCTCACAGGTAGCTCTGCCCCAAAAAGGACATTATTTGATGATTGCTGACCACTGGGTACAGGGCAGCCCACCCAGACAGCTCCCTGACAGGAGGCTGAAGTACGTGTCCTGCCTTTCCCATCTGGGGCCAAGCAGGTCCACGCTATCCCTTTCCTCCTCTCCTTGCACTTGATACGTAGCTCAGATTTCCACAGATATGACATCTTTTGAGTCTGTCTCTTCTCGCAGGCCCCCTCCTGCACTATGGCCACCTTTAGCACTAAGTTCCTGCTTGAACAAATCACAGAATTGAGTGTTAGCCCTCTCTGACCTGGAGATTAACAGCAAATTCTCTTTTCCCTGTTGCTAGTCAGAAGATGCTTTTAACCTTAGCTGCACACTGCTCCCTTCACTCACAGTACCTGCTAGTCCGTACCTTTTCCACCCCCCATCTTCTTACAGAGCAGGGGTTGCCTTAGTTATAGTAAAAGAGTGTACAGAAGAAAGAGGCATGATGGGGAGGTGGTTTGGACGTGGAGGGAGGAGGTGGGAACTGCACCATTGCACTGATGGTTCCCAGTATCTACCTCCTTGTACCTGGGACAACACTGCCTCGCTCCCTTTTTGGCTGACATGATGCCCACTGCCACCCCAGGACTGCAGAGGCCTCCAGGACAGGGAGCCGTCTGCTCAGCTCTTTTGCCTTCTTCCTTGTTTCTCTGCCTTTTCTGCACCTTCACTCTGGATATCTTACTGCCTCTGTCCCTAACTCCTTCACCCAACGTTGCTTCTCCTGTGCTTGCTGGAAAGTAAACCATTTGCAGGACAGACAGAAGCAGCAAGATGACACAGAGCTGATGGCAGTAAATGCATCAAAGGTACAAGACCCTGCCCCTTGCTCACATGCAGGCTGCACACCCAGCTGGCAAGGGTCAAGCTTGTAGCTCTCCAAAGGAGAGGGTGGATGAGTCCTTGAAAGCCTGAGGGAGGCTGCCAATTTTGTGGATGCTCTAGGAAATGTGTTGCTTCAGGCTGTAATAGTGGGTGGGATGTGTTAGCCCTCCCTGGATCTGCCATGGGTAGTGGTGTCTGGTTGTGGGTTGCATGATCTTCCCTGCCATGCCAGCTGAGCCCTCATCAATTTTCTCAGTGTTCATGTTGCGGTAGCACTGGAAAAGACATCCTCCCTGGCAGTTGGAGCAGGCATGCTCCCGTGCTAAAGAGCCTGCCCTCCTCAGCTGAACCATGTGGAAGCTGGAAACCTGATGGCTTTGCCAAAGAATGAAGTACTTGAGGATCTTAATTTGGGCTGAGGATTTTTCCTAGTTCCTCGTCAAGCACAGCTGCATTACAAGTCACTAATGACTTTAACTAAAGTGATTCGTAGGAGGTTTAAACTTACTGTAGACTTTAATTCAGTCATTGTCTTAAAGTATTTGTGTAGACTGCAAATCTCTCTCACGCACACACATTCTCTTTCTTTTTCTTTTGGTAAAATGGCAAATCTGGAAATGTTTGCTTGCAGTAGTTGCATTCTTATTAACACTTCAGAGATGTCAGTGTCACAGAGTTCTTGTGTAACAGTTTATTGTCTGGTTGCAGTTTGACACACCACCAAGTGAAATAGTGGATATGAAAGTTGGTAATTTCTCTGGCTGTATCCCTCCTGCATGCACTGTAATACTTACAAGGCATTCCCCCATCAACCCATCTAACAGCACTGTCCATGAACTCCGTATGGCCTAAGATGCTGTCTCTGTGGAAGCAGGAGCATAGCTCCAGATTACCTGTGGTGCTCTGATCGCTTTACTGTATCCCTTTGTAAATCAGCTGTACACCTGGCTTCTGTGGCCAGCCCAGCCCAGCAAGCACTTTCCCACTGCCAGCTGAACCCCCATGACAGAAACATTCCTGCATCCCCGTTGAATTACCTTTATTTAGCCTGCTGCTGGTAAGTGCGTCAAGCACGTCTAATAACATGATTGCTCTGTTTATCCTTCCATTAAGAACCACTTCAAGCAATATATGGTAATATAAAAATGCATGTTCTAGAGTATGAAATGATTTCTGCCTTTTAAAGAAGAATGTTAATGGGAGGTGGCAGCTCCATTTTTATCCCCATGCACATTGCAGGGTTTGAGCTGACTGAATTATTTAAATCACACCTCTCTGCCTTCCAATTGCAGCACTGCCAAAACCTCCAACAGAGCCATTAGTGACTGAAACGACAGCTACCAGCGTGACCCTCACCTGGGATTCAGGCAACTCCGACCCGATTTCATATTACGTCATCCAGTACAAGCCCAAATCCTTGGAGGGTCAGTTCCAGGAGGTGGATGGCGTGGCAACAACCCGCTATAGCATAGGTGGGCTCAGCCCCTTCTCAGAGTATGAGTTCCGGGTCATCGCAGTCAATAACATTGGCAGGGGTCCCCCCAGTGAGCTGGTTGAGGCCCGGACAGGAGAGCAAGCTCCTTCAAGTCCACCCCTCAAAGTCCAGGCACGGATGCTGAGCGCCAGTACCATGCTGGTCCAGTGGGAGCAGCCGGAGGAGCCAAACGGACAGATCCGAGGGTACCGTGTTTACTATACCACCGACCCGCATCTGCCTTTGAGCATGTGGCAGAAACACAACACTGATGACAGCCATCTCACCACCGTGGGTAGCCTCATCACAGGGACCACGTACAGCATCCGTGTTCTGGCCTTTACTTCGGTGGGCGATGGGCCCCCCTCGGACATCATCCAGGTCAAAACACAGCAAGGAGGTATGTATGGAGTGAGGTTCCACAGTTCGGTGTCCACCCCAGTGGTGTGCAGCTCCGCTGTGTATCTGATCTGCAGCAGGCATCACAACTGCAGTTGGTGCTCAAATGGTTGCATGTCAGAGTGTCATCCATGCCCCACAGCCATCAGATTTAAGCTGTCAGCTTGTCGTGGGGAGTTGCTATCAATCTATGTACAAGTAACACAAACCATGGTTTTCTCTGGGATACAATGGCTAAAAATGTGACACGAGATCCTGGACATGTATGTTGGCACCTATGTAACTGTGCCAGGCCCTTCTAGGGTCTGAGTACACATGTGGAAGGAAGGAGCTGGAATGCAGTCAGGGACTGGAAGCGAGCATGATTCCCGTAGTCACCTGCCTGGGTCGCAGAGGTGCTTCCTTGTTGCCTGGGTTGTTCCAAGAACACAGTACAGGGGACAGGGAAGGAAGGAATAAAAGAGGATCCTCACAAGGTGAAACACAGGCTCTGTGAAGCTGTGCAAGTCCTCTCCCTGCTTCTGCCTCCTGGCACTAACCATGTGTTTGGTCCCCAGTTCCTGCCCAGCCGGCTGACTTCCAGGCAGAAGCAGAGTCTGATACCCGCATCCTGTTGACATGGCTGCCTGCCTCTCAGGAGCGCATTACCAAGTATGAGCTGCTGTACTGGGAAGGGGAGGATGGCACTCAGGTGAGGATCCTGCCTCTGCATTAGCAGCGCTCGGGGCCAGACATCACAATTCAGCAGCTTGGGAAGGGTGGCTGCTTGAGCTAGGGTGGCAATGTGACTGTTTCTTCTCCATGTTTCTTCTGTCTCATGGGTGTGTGATAGGAATATGGCAATCTCTATCTGGCTTCTGTGTAAGTGACCTCAGCAGTGCTTGTTTGATGGCCAGCAAAGTAGCTAGTGACTGGTTTGGAACTGGAAGGGCTCCAGAATAACATGACACCATCCCTGAAGCATCCTTATTGCTGGTGCCTTTAAACAGTTGTGCAGGCTAGTAGGGCTTCCAGGTGGGTCTGAAATGTCCTCCAAAATGTGTGTGCAGCTCCAGGACTGGTTACACTTAAGGAGCGGATTGAGGGTGGCCTGGAGAGAGCCCTTCCACATTCACTGTCAGAAGTCCAGCTTTAAATAAATCAAAAGTAGTGCTGGCTGCAGGCAGCACAGTGAGAACCGTGTCATGGCAGCATCAGTGTCCCCTGGTCCTCTCCTCCTCCTGTGTTTATAGTGGCAAGAGAACTGCCAGAAATAAGTGCCCTCCAGGTGAAGTGGTGGCAAAACAATTTCTTTACCAGCACTGTTTAGGTGCATTAGAGATCCTGACTGCTCCAGGACAAGGGCTTTACTGTGTTTCACAGGCAGACACTGTGTGTTGGGAGGAAACAAACTCACATGTCCTGTGCCCCTCGCCTGAACTGTATAGCTAGACCCAGCATTCCCACAAAGGTGTCAGGCAGTGAGTGCAGTCTGGACACCAGCAACGTAACCTGGCTGTCAGAGAGGTCTGCTTCCTTGCAGAGTCCTTGTATTTCACCCAGGAAGCTCCATGCCTTGGAGTCCTGCAGGACTGCAGCAGGTTTGGCAGCATGGCTGTGACGTTTTGTGGGACCAGAATGGGTGATGAAGCTGCCTATTCCCTTGGCACTGGGAGCTGAGCGACAGCTTTTCTGTAGTCTCCAGCTACACCAAATAATCCATGTTTCCCTTTATTTGCCAGCAAAAGGTGGAGTTTGACCCAACCTCCTCATACGCTGTGGAAGGTCTCAAACCAGACACGCTGTATAAGTTCCGACTGGGTGCCCGCTCAGAGCTGGGAGTAGGAGTCTACACGCCCACGATCGAAGCCCGAACTGCCCAATCCAGTAAGTTTCTGACAGCCTGCACTACTGAAGACAAAGCAAAAGCAGTCCTGTGTCCATCGCTTGGGCACAGAGTATCTCGGTGCCTCTGCCCTTGCGGGTCTGCAGGGATGCCGCCGGCATGCAGTTTGCTAAAGGGTGTAAGGGGGAAAGTCAGCTGGGGTTTTGGATCAGGGTTCTTTGGCAGAGGGGTTGCACCCAAGTGGTAAGTTCTTTCTTCATGTCCCTTTGATCATGCTGTCTTTCCCT